TTGTGTTTAAATCAATTAGAAAATATTAATATAAGTGAAATTTCATTAAATTTAGAACTTTTAGAAGATTCTTAACGACAATTTAAAAGGCAAGTATAAATATAACCTACAAAACAAACTGAAAATAATAATACTTTTGCTTCTTGTTACAAAATATGTAAACTAAAAACAACAATAATAATACTTTTGTTTTTTGTTACAGATGCTCTGGCATTGTTGTGTACCTGGTTGCAAAACCAATTATGCCAGTACTTTAAAAACGAAACAGGCAGAAAGTATGTTTTTGTTTCCCAAAGATCCCCAAAGAAGGTATACTGGGTTATGCTCTATTCATAGAGAAGGCTGTACAATTACCAAATCTTCCGTAGTATGTGCCAAACATTTTCATGAAGATGATATTCAGCGGACTGAACAATGAGAAGATAAAGATGGAAATGTACACATTGAAAAGTTAATATTTCCCAAATTAAAAGGCAATGCAGTTCCTAATATATTTCCTGAAGTACCATCATATGTAACTGTTCATCGTACTAAAGAAAGAAGGAATCCCGAAGACAGAAGAAACTTTTTGCATAAGAAGAGGGAACAAGAGATAACATAATTATGTCAATTAGACTTAGACAATAATATCCCATTGAAAAACTGGACAAGTAAAATTACAAGTGACTGTGTATATTTCTATGTATTAAACATTAATCAGTTGGGACACAAGTGTGATAATATTTGTGTAATATGTAGTGTAATAGTTAGCAGTAATTTTAGTGTAATCGTCAATGTAGGTAAGAATAGATTAAGTGGTAATGATTTGAAATGGATTTTACAATATAGTAAATTAACAAGATGGTCACAATTAGAGAACTTACTTTCTCATTTAGATCTGCTTTTTAGATAAGTGATAACAAATTTGAGTATTACATTCAAAAATCTTTTGAGAATATAGGCTATTTTAAATCGATATACAAGTTATAAATGGTATGTTACATTCAACACATTTTTCATGTATACCTCTTTAACTTGGTCTATATGACAACAAACCTATTCATATTTAAAATTGCTACTTTTGTATATCTAAGTATGAAAATTCAACAAAAGTTATAAGTAAATAGTAAAATATTTAATTTTCAATTAGATTAATTTAGAACCATATTTATATTGTGTCTGATTTCTTAGGATGAATTTTTTAATCATAATAGTTACACTAAGTTTTTACTTAGCACAAATTTTATATCTTTTGTATTTTTAATAATCTTTTTAAATGTCGTGTTAATGTATTGTGTTATTTATATGCTTAAGTACTTAATATTTAAAATTTCTAGAGATTCTTGACTGCATTTGATTGTAAGATTAACTGTTTGACACTGTATTTTAAGTGCAATAAATTTTACTCTAGTGATTATTTTATTGATAATATAACCTAAATAATAATAAAACTTTATATACATTTACTAGGTATATATAAGGTTTTATTAATTTAATTTCCCTAAAAATATTTCTGTAATGAATTGAAGTTTTCAAAATATCAGTTTCCTAAAATTCAAATTAGTTTAATATTCTGGTAGACCTTACAGCTGATTATCGGACTACCGACGTCATAGAATGCGGTGTTGCCTTTTTTACTTCATGGCTTGGAAGTAAAGGTGGCTGTGGTTATATTTATTAAGAAAAGGGGAAGAAATTTTAAGTTTATGGGCTTTTATATGGGGATTTAAGAAGAATTTTTTTATACATGGAATTCAGGTTTGGTGTACCTTTACCCACCGGAGTCTAGTTCTTCACCGGATCATCTTCCAGGGCAACCTACGGAAACCGGCAGGAAGAACTTATTTTGATTTTTTTGTTTGTCATTCAAGTATTTTATATAACTTTTGCTACATCCTCTTCAAGGTTTTAACTTTTAGTTCACTTTAATTTAAATATATATCTTTAATAATAAATACATTCAATTTTTCCAAAACAATAGTCATTATAACTTAATTTCAATTATTTATTGTCTACCAAGGGATGAGGTTATAACTCTCCCTTGAATCTCTCTTTGCTAGGTTATCGTGTGCACACATATCCGGAGAGTTTCATTTGAAAATTTAAACAATTATTAAACGAAAACTAAACTATTAGTGAGTAGTATTTTTATATTTATTATTTATACATTATTATTGAGTATAACTTTTGTCACCATTTGAAATTAAGAGGTATATTAGGGGTAAATTGTTGTATAATTATATTCAGGGATTTTACTGTAAATATAGCTGTTACTGTACATAAGAGGTGGTGGGTAATATATAAGCATTTAAAATAGTCTGTAAATAAGTTGGTAATTATTAAAGTTGTGGTTAAAAATTTAATATTTCAATTAGTACCTATTTTTCATATTTCAGCAATACAAGATATCTCGGAAGAAAACATTTAACTTCCTGGCGCCCAAACATTCAGTAGAGCAACTTTATCTTTCATCTGTTTATTTCTTGGTGGTTTTCTTGTCATTAGTTCTTATATCTTACGGTCTCTGTAGGGCATGCAAATTGGCCAAGTCCCTCTTTGAGTGTCAAGTGGTCATTCTCCTGCATAGTCGCTAGCCAGCATTAATTTCATTATATCGTCCCTACCATTTCCAACTATCGAATGTGAAAAATCGGGTTTTTCAGATTCGATACCTTGTCCTTGCATTAAACGTGATACACCTTGTAGCAAAATATCGAAATTGTAGCTTGATCAGAAACGCGGGAAATATTCTGTCTAAACCATCGAATATGAACATTTTGTCATTTTGTTTTGGTCAAAATATCGAATATGCTGCAAACTGACGAAAATGGAATATTCGATATTTTGTTTTGTATAAATATAACTAAAGGCATATATATGTACAATGCAAAATGACGAATGTGTCACATTCATTATCTTCAGTGTTGTATTTGATACAGTTATTCAATTATAATCTGCAAACTGTCGAAAATACTAAACATTGCTGACAAGAACAAAACGCACGTGTTCACAATTTGTGAATTATTGCTTCCAAGAAGTTCTTTCGGTGAGGCACTTTATTATTTTGTTTTTTAATGTGTCACATACATTAGTTTCAGAGTTGTAATTGATAAAGTTATTCAATTATAATTTGCAAAATGTTAAAAATACTAAACATTGCTGACAAGAACAAAACGCACGTATTCACAATAATTGTGTGAATTATTTCTTCCAAGAAGTTCTTTCGGTGAGGAACTTTATTATTTTGTTTTTATCGGTTTTTCATTATCTGATTATTCAGTTAACTGGGTATAGCTAAACCAAAAACAGTGATGTTGTCAAAGCGAGAATTATTTAAAAAAATATTAAACAATGCTGCCTTTGGGACGTCGTCCACACAGTGTATATGGTACCAGTATCGGAAAAATGAAAATAACAAACTTTACATGAAGACTAGCATTGACGGAAACTTTTTATCTCTTGAAACCATACAAAAAAGAGGCAAACAAAATAGTATAAACTCTGTTAAGGCATACGACGAAAGACTCCCAATCACGGATATGAAGAAAAAAAACCTCTTGTCACTATGTGAACAAAACTTAATACCTAGGCCATACCACCAATATTACCAATCTTTACCAACATCTAATACTGCCAGAGATTGTCTTCCAGAACCTGACGCAACTGAAGACAATGATAACGTTGAATCTAAAATTTAAGACTTTACTTTAATTTATCATTATTTTACTACTGATTACTTGAGGTATCTACAGGACGTGAAGTTCCATAATTGTATTGTGATTATTTTTAACTTTTCTAATTACATTAATTTTCTATCAATACGTACTTTCATAAAAATACTTTTAATAATTTCTTTATACATGATTTTCCCATTTTACCCTATAACTTCAATTTTTAATTAAATTATTTGTAATAAACTTTGTAAGAACATTGAGATTATTTTCATTTTCCTCCTTTTCAATTAAGAATATTAATGTGTTAAAATTAGACCAATATGAACTGTCGAAAATGCCACATTCGCAATTTTGAAACATTGCACCAAATAAATGTGCTAAAATTATACAAATATGAACTGTCGAAAATGCCACATTCGCAATTTTAAAACATTGGACCAAAACAAATCGTTGATTAACACAAAAAGCAAAATAACGAATGTGATTTTGTGGAAAGAAGCAAACGGTTAGCAGTTTTATTCTGATATCAATCTAACAAGGATCAAACATTAATTTTTTAAAATATAAAAAATTTTCCATTTGTCAAAGCGCTGATTTAGAATTCTCTAAAAAAGAGTTATTTTGCTCTCCTGAAAAGTACCACTTTTCACATTCGATAGTTGGAAATGGTAGGGACGATATTTTAAAATTCATATTTACCCTTTATTGATTTTTTTACATAATTTATTCATTTCTATCTAATCCCTTCCGTTATTCCTCATTTTTGTTACATTTCACTCTTTCATCAATTTTTGTTACATTGGCGCACAGCTCACTTTTTTGTTACAAGGTCATAGCTCTTGTCAAAATCCATTAGCTATACATTTTTGTGACACTTCTCGTTTTAAAATAATTTCATTTACTATCAAATTATATATATTTATATTATATTTAATATCTCGTCTGAATTTGACAGGTCTGTCCGAAGTAAACAACGGATTCTTTCTTAATACGTTACCAGGTGGAGTTCGGAGCAAAAATAATAATTTATAGAAATATTTTAATATAACATAGTTTGTTTAACATATAAATAATAACGTTACTTTTAAAATTATATTCAATATATAATTATTATATATTCAATATATAATAATTCAATATATAATATTCAATTTTAAAATATTATTTAAATTTTAAAAATACAGAAAATATAGGATGGACCTTCGCGCTAATTTACTGTACCGTCTACTGTGTCATTTTTTTTAATTACTAAATAACTAAACTAATATTGTTTTATTATAACTACCTACAGTGTCTTTTGACTTGTGCCTTATTATAACTACTTTTGACAGAAATAACCATGTTTACCTTAATTTTGTTATCCCTAATTCCAGGTAGGGAATTATCTATGGATTCAGTATGAAGATTTGCTGGTATAATGCCTGTTTCCATAGCAATAATAGCTTTTGTTAAAGAACACATCCCTGACGCAATTTCTGAATGGCCCATGTTAGATTTAACAGCTCCAATAAGTAGAGGTTTTGTTCTCTTTTGGCAATGGTATTTTGCAAGAGCTTCGCATTCGGCTATATCACCAGTCAGGGTACCTTAGAAGATTTAATATTTAAAATATTTTAACTGAGATCATAAAACACATTACGTTAAACAAATACAAGAAATAAGATTGAAATGAAATTAGAAAAGTGTAGAACGCAAAATTACATCCTCATTAATACTATTATACATATACAACAACAAATATTTAAGTAAAAGATACAAAGAAAGTTAACAGGAAATTTAAAAATATCTCTATCGTCTAAAAATAATTTACTGTAATTTGTTATGCAGAGGTAATCCTGAAATTCCTATTCATATAATTTATCTGTTAATATGTCTAAATTAACTAACTCTAGATTATTTATTATATGCTCTCTTAAGACCTAATAATAAGTAGGAGACAAAGTCGTTTGGGGCAGATGCCAATTATACATCAGTATCAAATGATGCTTAAACTTTTTGAGTTTATGCATGTAAAGGCGGGGGTAGAGGTAGAGCTAACACTTATAGGCTAAGCTTTATTCACAAATTCGACAATCTTTATTTTTCAGCTACATCATAGACTATTATATCCGAAAATTTATCAGAAATAGATATAACCCGGTGGTGTCTTAATAATTAATTTTCTAGGCCATACACGCCATTAGGTGATTAAGAAATTATTATCATTGATCTAATGGTTCCTTTTGATATTCATTATTTAACTTGATCCTAATCAATGATTAATCAATGCATAGCGAGTACGATAAGTGTCATAATTTAAATATAACTAAAGTTAAGAAATAAAAACAATACAATAATATTATGTTAAAAATATTGAATATTAACTTAACTTGAATACTTAGACCAATTGGTTAAACGTTAATCAAAACTTGATTGTAATCAAATATTTAATTTAAATCAAATACGTTACATTTTGAGGTTATGTTGACTAATTTATTTTATTCAATTTATTATTTTGCGTTTTAATTTAAAATAAATCATAATTAAACTCTTTCTGATGTTAATTTCATGTTTTTATTTAAAAATCAAGCATAATAATAAGCAATTTTTTATTAGTTTGACAGCTGCTGTGGCGTATTTTATTGTACTTAAATATTTGATTACAATCAAGTTTTGATTAGCGTTCGAACAATCGGTCCCTACTCAAAATTAATTTATTCTACCACCAACCACCGGTTTATCATACTATAATTTGCTATGCATCTTCAGGCCGACGCGCGACGGTACATGGTAAACTAAATGCTGAAAATATAATAACCCGTAATAGGGTTTTGTCTGGTACAAAATATATTGTAAATATGCCAATATCATATGTGGGTGATTTACTAAATATGAATTAAAATTAATTAAATAAAAATAAGTGAAAAATAATTTAATGAAAGTTGAAATTAAATAAACATTACTTAGTTGTCGATACGAGGATAATTATTAAATGTTTTAGAAAACATAATTTAAAAATCAGATATTACAACTAGGTTAGGAATATAGGTATTATGTAAATTATTTGTTGAAAATTAAATGTTATGTTATATTATTTAAAAGTTATTCAAATTTATTAATGAGGTATATTTTAAATATATTTATCTAGATTAATTTATCTAGAAGTCGATTTATCTAGAATTGGAGTACAACAATGGAAAATAAAAGCTCAAGATCGCAAAGGATGGAGTGCGATAGTAGATGCGGAGAAGACTCACTCCGAGTTGTAAAGCCAGTGAAGAAGAAGAAGAAGAAGTATATTTTGATGTATTTACATAATACCTACTAGTGTTGTCCAAAATCGGTCTTAGTCTTGCAGTCTTAGTCTTGTTCTTGGATTTTTGCAAGACCAAGACCGCCTAATTTTAGCAAGATCGAGAACAATACTGGCCGTGCAAGATTTTAGCAAGAACAAGACTAAGCCTGCGAGATTCTTGCGTCTTGCAGTTAGGACCGAGTGTCGTTTTAGCGAGTATAGTAGTTCAGTTATATGCTTAGAGACTCTATGAGATGCAAAAAACATGTAACAAAATATCCATTAAAAGACCACTTGACAGATTTGATACATGCTCAGAGGTCATAATTACAATATAAAAATAAAATATTTTGTACATTCTTTCCCAGTAGACGACTTCTTCGCTTTGAAATTAATTGTCCAGACTTTGAGTATAGCCGCCTTCTAGTCATAAAATAATATTTTTGCATTGCGGCGCCGACAGTAATATCGTATCGAAGCTTTTTAACATTATGTCACCTTATTTGAATATAAATAATAAGATTAGCTACCTACTTACTGTTAAGAATATCCAATTAATAATTCAATTTTGTCCTATCATAATTTAGTTACCTAGGAGGAATCTAAATACCATAAATATTATCGGCCTAAGACTGAACATAGTTTCTGCTGAGTATGCGATTAGATCATTTGGTTAAACAAAATTTAATGAAATAACGCGGCTAATATTTAAAATTAACGAGACAAATTAATAACAGATAATGTCAGCTGCCGTGTAAACAAAGTACCGAAATATTTAGAGTAACGAAGTATAGTGCGCGAAAGCACTCTTGACCATGGAGCTGCGCGAAGGCGGAGTCAAATTCACGTAAAGGCAGAAAGGTTCTATTGTAAATGGAATTATACAGTGCATAGTACAATGCGTTTCACACGGAAGTGGTGACTAAAGCAAATTTCATCTACGGCGCCGTGGTCAAGAGTGCTTTCTCGGTTTGGTATTCGGTACTTAGGGTATTGGACAGTAACGAACATAAAGTAACTAGTAGTTACTTTTGTGACATCACTAAACTTCATTTCCAATTGAGCTTTTCTTCGAGTCTAATGTAATTGTTTTTCATCTAATCCTTGTTGTTCCCAGAGTGACAAGTTTACAATTTAAAATGATCGATGAAAATTCAAATAGTTCTAGTCGAAGTAATGAGAGTTGGAGTCATAGATCTAAATGACCTAAAAGCAAATTTGATGAGTTTTTCTTAATAATTGATGCATCCCAAATTGATTTGTGTAAATTATGCTAACATAGAAAGTTTGAAATAAAAATAAAAAACAGAAACACGGCAGGTTTAAGGAAGCATCTAATAGTTTTCTGAAAACCCAAAATTTAGTGGAGATATCTCAAACTTTTTATAACCGCTGTAGAAAAAGTGGACATTTTATTATCTACCTACTACTTTATTTTGGTAAAATAATGTATTTATTAAGTATGTGTCTCCTAAATTTAAAATAACTTCTTTTTGTTATCATTGCTTTTTTACCAGTTCTTTTTTTTTAAGTTAGCTTTTTATATAAAAGTAGAGCTAAGATTATTAACAAAATTTATTTTGCTTTAATAAGTGAATTATAGATTGTTATCTTATCAAATAAAGATATGTGCCCTTGATACATGTATTTGGACTTTTTGCCACATACCAATCTTTGTTAAGATTTCCATTTCATATAATGGTGGAGGTCCTTAAATTAGTTTCTAGACAGATAATGTTCATCCAGTCAAGTTTATGTCATTAACTTGGTTTTTAGTGTTTTAACCATGTTTTAGTACATATGTAAGCTTATTAAATGCAAACATTTATTAAAAACAATTTGACTTTCAAACCCCACCCAGTGTCAGTTGTTTAGGACATTTATTAATTTGGTTGGTATTTATTATGGCTATGTTAATTAAAGCTTAAAATGTATCTCATCTGTTACGTTTTTCTAAGATCTAATGTTATTGTTCTGAAGCTATTTTCTTATGGCATTTTAAATTAATTACTATTTAACTTAACTTAAGCACAATTAAAGATAAAAATACGTTTATTGACGTTTCAATTTCCACTTCGGAAATCGTTCTCAAAATACAAAATCACTGTTTGTATTTTGAGAACGTTAATATTTATTTAATTTTAATTTTCACTAAATCATTTTTCACTTAATTTTTATTTCACACATATAATATTGACATAATTTGTATATATTTTGTACCAGACAGCACCCTAATACGGGTTATTATATTTAGTTTACCATTATGGCCTAGTGTTATTTGTATGTAACGCTTGCAGAGGTACTTAGAAAACTGTACAATTAGTTTCAGTTTAGCTATAATCGTGTAGATGGCGGTGTAGGCATTCAAAACAAACATAAAAAGCATTATGTGCAAAGCTACGCTGATAGTTGTTTTAGTTAGTGAGTAACTGCAGTCTAAATCAAATATAATTTAGCAACTATCATGGTGCATAACATTCGTTTTGAGTAAGTGTTACAAAAATCTTATTTTTAGAGTAAAATGCATATATGTTTACAAGAACACAATTAAATAATGCTTTTTTGTTGTTGTCTGTGAAAATTTATAAACTACTTTGTGTATGTTTGATAAAAACAGCTTTGAATTGTAGAGTTGCAAAGATGTAACACTAGGCTCTTTGGAGTACGTGTCCTTTTCAACCTTGAAATAAGTATTAATACTCTTTATTTTTGTCTACACGAGGTTTGACTTCATATATAGATGATGCAGATGAAATCTTCAATGATCCTCCGGATGCCAGTGAATTAACGAATGACAATTTTGGAAATGAGGATGAGAGAGGCACTTTAGACAATCTATTTTAAAAAATTAGAAATTAGATTTAAAAAAAATATAGATGGTGATGATGACGAAGCTTTTTCAGATGATGCATCCAAACAAAATACAGACGGAGAAACTATAGAAAATGAGAATTTTGAAAAGCAGGAAGAGAGGGACGATATCCCAAAAAAAATTTAGCCTAACAGTAAAATCAACTGAAACGAGAATTGTGATTTATTTCCGTTACATGCACGACCTTTTTCTGTGCAAAGTAATAAAAAAGATATCGAAGATCCTAGTGCTTGTTCGAAAAATGTTAGATTATAATATTATCCAGGTGTTAGTAACAGAAACAAGAAGTTATGCCATTTTTAAAAACTGTCCAGATCCTCAAATTACGGCAGAAGAAATTCGATGTTTCATTGCTATTTTAATCGTCAGTGGATACGACTGCAAACCTAGCAATCGACATTTTTGGGACAGCCAGCCTGACATGCAAAATGAAGCAGTTT